CGCAGGTCGCTATGACTTTTCGTTCGAAAGTTATAAGCTTTTTTTTTCCAGGTGTCTTCTTTTAAAATTCCGATAGTAGGTAAAAGATTCATATTGGTTTTCATCTTCATGTTTTGTTTAATAATAACAAAAAAATGAAAATTTATCTATAAAATATTGAAATTTATATTTTGATCATCTTGATATCATAAATTTGCTAAGTTAGTTTTTGTTTTTGGTGCATTTGATTGATTTTTACAATGATCTATAATAGAATCTTTCCAATAGCATATTCGTAAGAAAATGTTGATGTATATGAATACAAACCAACAAATTCCTAACCATTAGAATAATCGAACGAAAAAAAAAAGTGAATTAATATGAAAATTATCTTGACTTATAATAATATATTTTTAAAATATTTTCAAATTGTACAAGAAAATAATAATAATAATACATATCCATAATATAGAGTTCATTGTAATTTTTTGGGACGTTTAAAACAAAATTCAAGTGATTGGATTGTTGGTAATTCAAAAAGAAGAAAAGTAAAAAATGATAAAATATATGAAAGTATCGTATAACAAATAAAATTATAAAACTAAAACAAAAATAAAAACTCTAAATTTCATATTAACATTTAAAAACAAATAACATACTATATTCATTATTGTATAATGTGTAGGTTGTTCACGACCAAGATAATTAACAAAAATAACTAATGAATGCCATAAATATGCACCATAAGTTAATTTTGATAATTTATAAAAACATGATTGACTTAATAATCTATTTGCTATACCTATTAAAAGAAAACAAAAAAATTGTTTTTTTTTTAATAAACGTTTAATTACAAATAGATTTCTTTTTCTTTTTTTGTCTTTACAAACCTGCATGACCAGTAAAACAATCAATAATTATTGTACAAAGTCCAATAGACCAACCAAGTCGTGATAAAGTAAGAAATGCAATACGATTTTGTCGAGTTAATGGATGTCCACTATAATCACCATATGTACCAAATATACAAAGTGATAAAATAATTAAAGCAAATGTCCAAGTAAATATTCGTTTGCAATAATAATATCGACTATGAATTGTTGTTCTTCGTATAAGAGTATTCGATGATAATACATTTGAACGTTGATAAACTTCATAAAAAATATAACCAATTGATAAACCAATAGCATATGGAGCAATACGACACCATGGTTTAACATATACATCATTTAAATATCCATATGACATATTAGAAAAATTTGATCTAAATAAAGAAACAAAAATTTTTCAAAGAAAAGAAAAAAAAATTTTCTTAATTACTTATTTGAATATAAATCACTTAATAAACCATGATCATAATTATTTTTTGAAACTATAACTGACGTTGTTACTATATCAACAATAATAAAAATAAATGATATAAGAATTCCAAGAAGCCATTTCCTAAAAAAAACAAAAAGATAAAAGTTATGTTTTAATTATAGAAACGTTCTATTTATCAAATAGGATATAGATCTCATCAAGTCCAAAAGTTTAAATAATCAGATTCAATCAAATTTACTCCTCTCGATTATTTTGCATATATATATAACACAAATAATATTATCTACTAAGATCGACTTTTCGTTCTTCGCTAGAACAAATTTCATAGATAATTAACTATACATAGAGATATTAATATCAATATCAAAATAGTAAATCGTTGGAATATATATATATAAAATTTGAAAATTATTCTAGCGCATAAACAGCTCATCAAGCTAACGGATGACTCATAATAAATAATCGTACATTATATTTCATCTTTTAATCTCCAAATAAGTTTTATTAAAAAAACGAAGATGCAGCGTGAAAGCTCTACAATATACAAAGTAAAGCTTATTTTAATTATCTATCTTTTGTTTTTCAAAATTCTATGTGACTAATCTTCGATACTGCGAAGCTACACAATGAATTCCTTTTTTTTAATCATAATTTTTCACTTTATTCCATTGCATATTATTGCTAATAGTATTCCATACGTAATAAACCAGAACATTGAGACCAGGATTATTCAGTAACCATCTGTATGATTGTCTATAAAATATATGAAATTTTCTTCATGTCATGTCAATGATTCCTAATGTATATTTAATGTGGTGTTGTCTTATCAACAGGTGAAATTATCATTTGCCTTAAGATTATGCATGTGAAAGAACAACAGTCATGTGATAATGTTTTACCAGATGTAAATATTATGCTAAACACAAGATCATTTTTAGATACACCAAATCATACTATAATTCTTTTTGGATATTTAACCTTTTGGTTTATATTCCATTGTTCGTCTGTTTCTTGTCACCTTGCAGCATAAACATGTTCTCATGAGAAATACTTCTTATCAATAAATAGAATTTTTTTTCCATCGATGAGATACAAAAAATAAAAAGCGAATTGATCGTTTAAATGTTCGCAGCATCGAAAATTGGTTACATATTTCATTAAAACGTAATTACAGATTAAAATATAAAATTCAAAGTGCGGCTATTTATTATGGGCCATCGGTTACTATGGTGCACTTTATATAATTATCTCCAAACCGTATAGATAATATCAATCGATAGATTTGAACAAAGAGTTTAACAATATTTCTGAATATAGTTTCAAAAAGAAAACAAACGATGACTTTTCAATCGTACATATTGTTCGTTTGATTTAAAATTCTGAGAATCTCATCGAATCTCAAAGATATAAATTTAGTTTTAAGATGAACAAGATTTACTAATAATAAAATTTACCATGAAACAATCAATAGAAATAATGGTGTAATCCAATGAAATTGCATATTAACAGCTAAGAACCATGATACCTAAATTGTTTCATTTCTTATTACAATACTAAATTAATCTTTAAAATTTTACCGGCATACAACTATCACGCATATCAAAAAAATTATTAATATATAGTAAATTACGCCACCAAGTTCGTCGACATGATGCTGTTTCAATACCATCAATTGGATAAACAGGACCATTTTGACCCAAATATGGTGAAAGAGTGATATAAATAAGTAAAATAATTCCATACAATAGTGTATATCTATATATTAAATAACAAAATAAAATCATTACAAAAAAACAAAAACAAAAATTCAATTATGTTTTTTTACCTTAAATAATGATAAACATAATGATTAAGAATAAATTTTACAATTGAAAATTTTTCATTTTCGTTTTTCGATATAAAATATGTAAATGCCGTCAATAAACCACTAAAAATAAATAAATATAAATAGTAATGGAAAAAAAGATGCACAACGAAATATTTTTGTCTTTTTTTCTATAATATTCAGTATCTAGTTCAAAATCAAATCTATGTAATGCTTTCTATATTAGATGAGCCATAATGGCAAAGTTTCTAAAAGCCAGACACGGTATTTTTCAGGTTCCAGAAGACTATTTTTTTCAACAATACTATTTTAAAGCGCACAAAATTTTAAAGAAAATGAGATGTTACCGCATTTCCTATGACCTTCCTTTAAGAAGTTAAACGCACCACAAAAATCGAAAAAAAAACTGCTAAAAAACGCCTTTTTTCGACTTCTATGATGCTTTTAATCCTCTTAAGAGAAGGTCATAGAAAATACGGCGATCGCTCATTTTATTCAGAATTTTGTGGTCTTTAAAATGCCATTATTAAAAAAATAATCTTCTGGGACCTGAAAACTATCGTGGATGTTCGGTTTTTAAAAACTTTGCCACCATAGTTCATCAAGTATGATATGGATTAGATAAAAAACTGCGTTGGTTATTAACATTACTATCTGAATTTGAGCTAGTTGCTTAATATTATAGAAAAAAAAAAGTCAAAAATATTTTGTCGTTAAACCTTTTTTCTATCACTATCATTAATAAAAAAAATTTACCTTAAGAGAAAAAATGAATCAATACTAAAAAATGTTTGTGCAATTATTTGAAACCAAAGTTGACGAGATAAATTAAAAATTGTCATTAAATTATCTAAATAGAAAAATATATATTTTTTTTACTGTTTTGAACTTTTAAATAATCATATATTAATATATACATGAGCTAAATCGAATCGAGCTAGATTTACTTACAAATAAATTAAACTATTTTTTTTTTCTTTTCTTTTTTAAACAAGAGAATAAAAATTTATCTTTTTTTCGATTGATTTTTCAATATTTACCAGAATAAAAAGCAGCACAAATACATGTATGACCAAGAATAATCCAACAAAGTGAAAGTACACGAATACCATTAAGACATGCTAAATTTGTTGGATAACTATTACTTTTTAATATATGATAATTATTTATTAATGAACAACAACTTATTAAATTTTGTGCAACTATAAAATCATTAAATAAATAAATATTAAACAAGAAAAAAAATTTAATAAGTTTTTTTTTCTCTTACTAGAGTCAACGTTTCGTTGAGATTTTGGAATCAATGGTGTTATTTCATCAGATGATGTTGATTGATCACGTTCATCAATTGAATTTATTTGAGATGATACATGAGTTGTTGTTGTTCGACTTAACAATGGTTCAGATTCAACTATTGAATGTTCATCATTCATTTTTAAATCATGTTTATCTCCATAGATAATATGTAATCCAGTAGCAAAAAGAATAAGAAATATAATTATTGATATAAGAACACTAGATTAAGAAGAAAATTACAAATTAAAATAAAGATTAAATTGTTTTGTTTTTATTTTTTTTTACATAGTTAAAATAGCTGCTGTAGTAAGTTGACGATGTTCAATACAATGAACATCGTCATTTGTTATATTTATTAAATGTTTGATAAATGGAATTTGTATAATATCTAAATATTAAAGAAATAGTTTTTGATCAAGAATAAATTTTAATTGATTTAAGTTTCTATCGTTGATACTGAAAATATCAAAATTCGTTCAATTGAAATAATAATTTACAATTTCATACGAAAACCTGACTATCAGTTTCATGTAGATATCCTTCTCTAGTGCTCAACATTGACTACGAATTAAGATTTTGTATGATTTGGATTATGTGTAATTTTTAAGTATTTTGTTCACTTATTGAATTTCATTGGTTAAATAAAATTGTAAATTTTATTTATTAAATTCCTCGTAAGTGAGCAGATTTGATTAAACTTGAATAGAGGATACGCTAAAATTCATCTTATTTAAATGAAATTGTATTATCCAATGTTTTATGCAGCATGGAATTTATCAAAGATGCGGTTGACCCTCATAAAGGTTCTAGTTATTGTAATGTGCGATGGAAAAGTCTTTGGAAAAATGTTGAACTCTGTTATACCATATTGCTTACTTCTAAATCAATCAACTTGACGAGAAGCAAAAATCCAAAGTTCTTATAACTTTTTTCCAATTTGAAAAGTCTGTATTTCTGTATTATTTTGATCTATATGGATGGATTAAATTCGAACAAAGATACACTAAAATGCAGCACATCAAAAACTCGATCGATATCGATTTAGGCAAAATCTTTTTTCAGATCATAGAAATATAGCAGAAAAATAATTTAAAAAACATTTGTTTTTTACTGTTGTAAAATGGCCAAATAGTAAGAACGACGAACTTATTCAGTCTTTGTTTTTAGAAAAAGCTTTATTTTAGTATATAAACCAAGAGTAAATTTAATTTCCAATACACTAATTCTGTTGCTCGATAGTGAAGCTACAAGAATTTTTTTGGAGAGATTTAGTTCTAGGCTTTTCTTCTTCATCAGATTTTTTCTGAAGACTTTTGCATCACATATGACAACATACTATGTGTCTGCTCTCTCGAAGTTTTAAACTATTTCTTAAGAAAGTCTAAATAACAAAAGCCTGGTGTTGTTAATAGTTTGAATGACAAAAAAAAAAATACTACGAACTAATTGTTGATGTTCTTTTGGAATATGATATCAACTAAATAGATTATTTATCTATTCGATATTAAAATTCTTTCACATACGTTGATTAATAAAATCAATAATATCATTTGTATTACAACTTTGAGGTACACAAATACCATAAACTGGTCGAATTATATTTGATAATCCACTACCAATTGTACATGTATGTGTTTTAAACGGTTGTATGATAACACTATCATTAAAACCACGTAAATGATGTTGACATTCATATACGGAACCAATCCAATAGATATTTCCTTGCATTATTCCACTTGGTAATTTTCCCCAAGCATCGAATGCTAAAATAAATTAAAAAAAAAAATTAAACTAAAAAAGAAATATTAAGATTTACTCTTTAATGCCCATGTTTGTTCATTAATTAAATCATGTGCTAATAATTGAACATCTCGACTACAATTTGATTCATTTGCATTCAATATAAGATCAACATTTATTGATGGTAATGTTGTATGAAGTATGATATTTGAATTAATGATATTTTCTTTAATAAATCGACCATTAGCTATAATACTTGGAATAATATTAATAAATGATAATGACAATGATTCAGCTTTAATTCGAATTAGTATAATAAGAAAAAAATACCATAAAAATTTCATTTTGATTTGATCTACAATAAATATCACGTCTATTTATATGAGTATGTGACTTGTAAATGTATGATTCATCAAGTGCAAGTTGTTTTTTTTTCGAATACTAAACAGTACAGAAGAACGCGATAATATGTGACGCAATAGATTAATTTCACGATAATTTTGTATGAATTTTGTTTTAAATATAAATTATAAACATTTATTATTTAATCTACAATATTAAAATAAAAAAAACAAAGCGAATTATTCTATAACAAATAAAAGATGGAATGCAAGCAAAATCTTCGCTTTCTATTTTAAATAAAAAAAATTATTTTCAACTAATTATATTGGATAAAAACCTTAAGTTTCGTATACGATTTACACTCTATAATAATCATAGTGGAATCATTTGTTCAATTTGACTCAGTTGCAATTATCTTTAATTTTGTCGAATCAAACTAATAGGATCTTCTCTTAGATATCTTCAAGGCGCAATGTACATTGCATCAAATGAAATAAGATGAAAATCTAATGGGTTATTATGATGCTAGTTAGAAGATTTTCTTTTTGAACTCGAATCCTATATTTTTTTAATGTTTAAGTTTGATAAAGGCAAAAACATTCTTAGGGAAAAAAAAATTTTCTTTACCATGGCATTGTTTTTTTTCTTCTTATTATAAATGCACTGAAAACATAATCAGAATATTCTTTCTAATTCATTGTAATAGGAAACTATAAAAAAGAAGAAATATAAATGATTAATTTGTTTTTGAATTAGAATAACATTCATATTTCGATATTTGAAATTATATAAAAATAATTTACTATAAAAACTTTGAAAAATAAAATTTGCTTATCTGAGATTTATTTGCAAGAATTCATATTTTAGATATTTTTGTTTTATTCGAAAAATCTTATTTTATATAATTTTATTATTTTTTTCTCAATTGTGTATTGATCTTTTTTGGTAAATCATCAGAGAATAAATCATACTGAAACTTTAGATTTCTTATAACTATGTATTTTCTTTCTTTCCTTCTCTAAATACATAATGGTGCTTCTCTTATATTTTTTAACGAAATTTCATATGATGTAGGAAAAATTACAAGATGGCAACCAACAGAGTGCTATATTTATTTTCTATTATTCATTAGTTTATATGTTTCTTCCACGTACATATCCATCCAGACAACAATTATTACGAACAAATACGTTGAGTAATATATCCAGAACGAGAAAATGAGAAAAATATAAGAAAAGAAAAAAGGATAATCTATTTATATTTCCAGCTGTGGATGTGATGATAAAAGACAATGATTTATTTTAGGACAATGTTCTAAAGTTTGTTTCTATTCATGTTATTATCAACGAATGTTTTTATTAAATATTTCTTTATATCGAAAATATCTATTTATTATTTTTCTATTTTCTATATTTATTTATTATAATTTATTATTTCAAAGAAAAAATTCTAATATAATTAATCAAACATCGAATTCTATTCGTATATTATACGTTATTCGAACAAGTTCATATTTTTATCAAAAACGTTTAATTTATCTTCTTCAAACATGGATATCATTAGTAAATCAAGATGTTTTCTTTGTTACCGATATACTTTTACCAAATATATCTCAAAATCATATGATTCTAACAAAACAAATATGTGGACCTGATGCTCATTCAATGAATATTTTATGTTGTAAAACAGCACATGATTTTATTATTTTTCATCGTTATATATCCGAATATGATTGGTTTTGTCATTTTGATGATGATCAATATGTCAATGTTAATAATCTTAAAAAATATCTATCTACTCTTGACTTTAATCAACCTTATTATATTGGACGTGCCTCATGGTCTAATACTATAAAACGATCAAAAGAACCTTATCCATATTCATTTTGGTTTGCTACATTAGGTGCTGGTATATGTCTATCAAAACGTACAATTTATCTTCTCAAACCTTATACACAAAGTGTATCACAATTTATTGATGGTTGTATAAATGAAAATTATCATGATGATATCTATTTAGGTTTTCTATTAAATGGTTATTTAAATATAACATTAACAAAAAATAATCATTTTCATTCTCATCTTGAAAAATTTTTTTATCATAATAAACAAATATTTCTTCGTACATTTACAAATGAAATAACATTTGGTTTTAATATACCTGATCGATATCCTTATTATCTTCCTCAACTTGATAAATCTTATTTAGATCCATATCGTATACGAACACTTCATTGTCTTCTTTATATAACACAAATTAAAGAATGTGAAACAAAAATTCGTCAACATATTTTTAATTCTACGATATAGATAAACAATACAATATATTTAGTTTTTACTCGCCGTCGATGTTTTAACAGATGATGGCGTAACAACAGGAACAACTTTAGGTGTTGCTGGTGGTGGTGTTGGTTTTGGTTTATATGTTGAAACAGGTTTTGTTACAGGTGTTGGTGTTGTTGATGTTTTAATTACACCTGTATGAACTGTTTCATTAAAAATATGCATTTTTTCATGAAAATATGTTCGAAACCAATTGATATGTTCAATTTTTTGTTCAACTGTCCAATGAGGATTTCGACCAAGACCAACACAAACAAGTTCCATAAATTGGCGAATAAGTGGTGAATTTGGAAAATCATTTAAATGACGTTCTAATAAAACATGTTCATAAAATGGAACATCTGCTTCAGAACCAATATCTATTGAAAAAAACAAAACCCATTAAAAATAAACACATTATCGAATTCTTTTTGATGAATAAAAAAATAAAACAAACCTTGTTCATTATCAACAGGAAATTTCCAAAGTATACCTTCTTTCGTCCATTGAATCATTTCTTCAAAAGCATTACGTGGTGGTATTGATGATATACGTGTTAATTCATCTTGTTCATATTTTTCCCATATTGGAGAAATTTTTGTAGATAGTTCTAGAAACACAAAAAAAAAATTTTGTTTTTTGTTTTATTAGTATTCGAGTTTTTCTTTTTATTATAAAAACAAACCATTAACATCTTTTGTAGTAAAAATTCCTAATGGTTCACCAGTCCATAATCGATGTGGCCTTTGAAAAAGAAATAAATTAATTAAATTTTTAATAAAATTTATTTACCTAAGAAATTCTTGTCGACGTTTGTTATCACGAATTGATTTTCGTGCATCACTACTATCACGTTTTTGTTCGCGTTGATCATTGAAACGTGGTCTTGTCATAGCTCCATCTAAATAATAAACAAGTCGAATCGAATATCTTATTTTTAATATGTATAATGGTCGATATAAGGTTTAGAGCAGTTGTATTTTCTTCTCCATAGTAAGCGCTAGGAAAAGTTTGAAAAAAGACTTGAATAGCTAAAATGATTCTCTCTCACAATTGATGGATCTAAAAACTCCAATAAAACTGCTTGGATAAGAATTTCTGGAAAACTAAAACCTACATAATCAGTTTTCTGACATCTGATTTTGCTCTATCAAATACAATCATTTTCAAAAAGCTTCAAATAGATGTTAGAAAACTGATTTTTCGAGGTCTTGGTTTTCCAGATATACTCATCCAAGCAATTTTATTGAAGCTTTTAAATTTATCAATCCTGAGAGAGAATCCTTTCAGCTATTCAAATGTTATTTTCAGATTCTTACTAACTATTATCATTGAGAAGAAAACACACAAATACAATCGCTCTAAACTTTTGTTTGTCATTATACATACTATCTTGAATAAAATCATCTTCAAATGTTGATTTTGGTGTTGTACGAGTTGGTTTCAATTGAAAATCACGTAATAATGATCTATTATAGAAAGGAAAATTTTAAATCTTGAATTTAAAAAAAATTAAACTTACGAAAAAGCTTCAGTTGTTTTTTCAACATTAATATTAGATGTTGTACGAGTTTGTTTTCTTTTTGGTGATTTTTCATATTCACTATGTTGTTTTAGGTCAGAATATTCTTCACGATGTTCGAATTTATGTTCTAATCGTCGTGCAGTTTTACTAACAACTCGATGACCACGTAAAACATCAAGTAATTCTTGTTCTATATTACTACTTTCATTTGGTGAATTAACTGGTGTTAAAGAATCAGCAACTTGACGTGTTAAAGTTTTTACTTCACTTGATTCAGTATCAAGAATAACTGGTGGACGAACTTTTCTATTTAATATAGAAAAAAAACAACAGTATATTTAAGTTATAATGTCATTGTAGAGTTTGCTAAACATATGAAAATTTAAAAACAAAAAAAAGAATAAAAAATTTCGAATGTAGAAAAACAAAGTCTAATTGACATATTTAAACTAAGACCATAAATATTTATGGTTTTCTTTCATATTGACACGGCCATCTAGAGTCCGCGCAAACCTCAGACATGTTCATCATAATGTTAGAAGTACATATTATTAGATCAAATCGCTTATCTTCCAGATATACTGTAGAGAAGACTGGTAGAGTATACTAATAGTATCTGCTAGTTATGCCCAACTATTATTAATGTGAGTAGATCATCCTGCAGTACATGTGAACCTTTGTTGACTATCTGAGATTCATTCTGACCTCAATTGGATTCATTATTACATTATACATTCATAACACTTACTCCATGCCCTGTTAAGTATGCATTAGAGATACGTAGTATAGTATATAGATAACATCACTCAATTATACGCAATGGTTCTTTTTATGTAGAGCAATTCAAAGTGTATGTAAGTACTAAGTAAGTGACGCGTAATTTCATACGCCTCGAACATAGGAAATGATAGGATCAAGGACAAAAACTAAATAAATTTCGTTCAAACTAACTACTGTTCTTCTTGTAATCAAATATTCTCTCACGCCTTCATATGTCCATGATAAATTAGTAACAACTCGTATGTTATATTTATTTTATTAATTTGAGTTCACACGAACCTCAGATGGATAACAGATGTTACGATTAAACTGAATCTGAACAAACACGTTCATAGAGCTCTTGCTTCGAAAGAGGATCGAATTTTTCTCATCTAGTTTTGATAAGGTTTCTGCTTGTGTACAATAAATAGGACAGAAATTATTTATATTTGATAATTATTCTGTACATGGAAAAATAAAAAGAAGAAAATATTTGTGATTATATGCATCATACGTATATTTGACATTAATTCGATTATTTAACACAAATGTCAGTACAAACACAAACATTGTAAATTGATAGTGGAAATTTTTCTTGAGAGAAGAAGATCAGTTCCTTCACAGTGTGCATTTTTCACATGGTAGGAGGATATATGACTTTCTTGCTCGGAAATGATTGAATATAACTCCGAAAGGCATTTTTAAGAAACGAGCTTTTTGACGAAAAATGCATGATGGGGACTGTTACCCTTATTTTTTCGAGGAATTTTTTTTCTTCAAAATTGTTTTGTGTTTTCAAAGCCAGAAAAACTGAAAAGCCTGGATTTTTTCGAAACCTACCGTACAGTTCAGGAATGTTTGTGCTGACAGGAACTAGAGACAGTAGATAGAAGAACATTCTGGCAAAGTTTGGAGGTTGAATGTGGATGGTTTGCTTATTTATAGGACTAGCCATTCAGACAACACTAGAAAAATACTTTTTTGTTATTGTATAGAGCTCGGTTTGAAGAATTCAGGAAATATACTTGATTTATCTATCGAACAGTCTAACTTTGTCAGATATGAATTTTCTCGGTGACATCACGGTTTTCAAGCTAATTTTTAGGGAACTAGGTTTTTAATTTCTTTGATGGTTGTAGCAAAGGTATTTATACCATTAGGTAGATTATATTTCGAAGTATATTTTTCTGTATTTAAATCTTGAAAAAGTACGATTTTCATTTTTAGCTAAATGTCCGTCTGGATGTACACTGTGTCGTTCACCAATATCTACTTCTGTGAACGTCTCTGAATTTGATTGAAAGAATCTCAGTCACGTTCAAAATCTGTCTTGTCGAAATTATTTCAAATCATTTTGTTTTCAATTATTTATTCTCTTGAAAAAAGAATTAAAAATTAACTATATATAGAATATTTATGATAAGAAATTGTTGTCATATTTTAACGATCACACTTTTGATTTGAAATGACTTCAATTATTATTATAATAAAAACCTCTTGCTGAGATTTTTTTTTCTTTCTTTCGAAAAAATTGAATGAATCAATTATAATGACTTACTTTTCTTTTTGTCCACTTTGTTCTCCTTCACGTTTTGGTTTTCTTTCTTTTGAATCAAATGATTTAGTAAATTTAACTGTATCATTTGGTGATGATCGATCACGTACATTAACAGATTTTTTTTGTCGATTTAAATGTTTAACATTTAAAGTTCGAAGAAGATCTTCAGCTTGATGACCATCATCTTTTGATAATAATGTTTCATCTTTAAAATGAAAATATTCATTAAAAAAACCTTAAAAGAATTTTTTTTACTAGTTATAGATTGTTTTTGTTCAATTCTATCATCATTTATTGAATGTTTTTTATTTTTAAATGTATTAGGAGAAATATTAGAATTTTTTCGTTCAAAATTTAAAAGTTCTTCATTTAAATGAGATGATTTTTGTTTTGATTCATCATCTGTTGATTGTTTCGATTTAAATCGATATTGATATGATGCTAAAGGATGTATATATTGATAAAGAGTTGATATTCGTCGTAATGTTAACATTGATATTCTGAAAAAAGAAAAAATTTATTTTTCTATTAGTTATTTTATTCTACTTGAACAAAAATAAAAGGTCTAAGAGAAAAAACAAAGGAAAACGATAGTCAATACAAAAGCATAAGAAAAACAAAGACACAAAACAAATACTTTGCAGTAGAAAAAGAAAAATAATTGCTAGTATAAATTATCATCCATGATGGCTTAGAAAAGTAAAACGAGGATTCTTTAATTTGATAAACAAGAGAAACACACACAAACATAAATGACTAATACTAAACAATCGACTAGATTTTAGTTAGTATGAAATCATGATGAATCTTTAATACGTTGACAGATTTCGGCGGTATATTCTGAACATTTTGCTTTGCCACCCAAATCACCAGTAAGCATCTAGATTAGACAAAAAAAAACAATGTTGTTCTATTAGTTAAAGATGAAATCGTTGGAACAAGGTCTTAAAAGCGCACTTGCATTCAGTCAATGGTTCTTTTTTTTATGTGTGAAACACTTTAAATTATATAAATATGCTATGAATAAACTTATTCTTCAAAATTTGAATTAAGTCGAATGTCTACTGTAATATATGATTTTATTTCCTATTTGAATAAATCGATACATCATAAAGAATATCTCACAGAAAAACAAAACCTGGCCAT